AGTCTGCCCGAGAGAGAGGGTCTGCACTGGTGCAAGGGTAATTTGGGAGGATGCCACCCCACCAGCAGACGGCAGCTGCAGATTCTGCAGGTTCTGAACTCCTTGAACCTGGAAGGTCTGCCATTGGATTTGGCCGGTCGGAGAGACAGTTTGAGCTTGGATCAGAAACGTTCCAGCATTCAATAGCTGCACGCTTTGTAGTGTCTGCGCTGCTCCATCCGCCGTCTGCGCTGATAAGAGCTGGACCACCTGTTCGCCGCCAGATGTATGGTTTTGCTGGATGTAAGATGGATCTTGATGCCCGGCTGATACCGCAGTGGCTTGGGTGAGAACTCCAGTCCCGTCTATCGTCTCAGGAAGTGATGTCGTCGTGGAAGAGGTGGTAGTTGGCACAAAGGCATTAGCGTTAGCGTCATTGGCGTTAAGTGGCTCTGTGCATTTGCCGCTTTCACTCTGGTTATCACTGGTTGAGGTGGTGGGACCAGTCATGATGAGCTGGCCATCTGCAGTAATGCTTGTCGCTATGGTCTGAGCACCAGCCAATCCGAGAGACTCGAGATCCATGTTACTTAAGCTATTTATCGGCACCAATGTGATGTTGCCTGGCAGCCCCATCGGCACATTGGCGACAACCTGGCCCTGTGCGCCAAACCCTGAGCCGGCCAATGAGACGGTGGGTATCTGCTGCACATGCCCACTTTGACTCAGTAGGCCCTGAAGGTCATTAGCATTGGTGGCGATGCCTTGCGTTCCATCCGGAAGGATAGCAATGTCAGTGCCAAGGGTGCTTCCGTCTGTGGATGCTGCATAGCTTAGTGTCGCCCCATCCGTCCCCTGCAGCTGAGGGATGACCTGGTACTGCACCCCATTAGCACTGGTGCCATCGACCCCAGCAGTCACAAAAACAGACTGAGTCTGCCCTGCCATAGTCTGTAGTGGCACCACATATTGCCCGTTGCTGCCCAGAAGTCCACCGCTGGGTACCTGCACTACTGATGGCTCATCTTTCACTGAGCTCACAGGCGTTAGAACCTCCCAGCGATCAGAGGAGCCTGTTAACTGGATGGTCGTGAGGTCTGTGGTCTGCTGGGGAGTGGAGATAATACTGTTAAATTAGTACTAACACTTCATGATGAATTTAACCATACACACAGACATTTCCACAACTTTTAGTCTAAAGGTCCATTCACACCAATGGACAACAACGTTTTGTTTATGATAAATGTGTGCTGGAGATGCCTAATGCTTTAAATGCTTGATCTCATCAAGTCAAATGGATTCTAATTGGCTGTCAATAATCTCATTCATCATTCTGAAAATGATTTTCATCCTTGGTGTTAATGGGTCTAAGCAAAGATAAATATATGGAAATAAAAGTCTGTGTGAAAAAAAAAAATCCATTAAAGTAATAAGCCTTAACTATAATCCCCCATGTTATAAAGAGGTTTATGCTGAAAGTACTATAGTATCAGACCTCAGTGAGGATAAAGTTAGTTTTCAAATAATACATTTAGCTTAAATTTACATTAAAAATAGTACTTAAACTCGCAACAAAATGCAAGTGGGCGGCAGACCTTTTCTTCCGTGTTGTGACGTACATCCAAGTGTAATGGATTATCGAAAAAAAAAAAAAAAATTAGAGCAGGAACTTAGTCTGTCCATCAGTATTGGATTTTTACTCTCATATAGTATTAAGATGCGTTTTGGTCAATCAGATCAAAAGTGGATGACAGTAAATGGGGTCTAAAGCATTTTGAGCACATCCACTTTCGACCACTTCCAGAGGTAGTCGAAAACGCATCTGACTTTTGTGGTGTAGAGGCTTATGTGGTCGAATGCGTTTGAACAGCCACAAAAGACTGCCTACTGATTTAAGGCATGCATTATGGAAACTGCACAAGCCAAACGGGATTTAAACATTGTCAGCTGAAGACCCAAGTTTGGTTTGAAGATTTAAAAAAAAAAAATCTATTGAGAAGAATGTTCTCTCACCATTTATGATTTCAAACTTGCAACTAATACCCCTTTTCCACCAAAAAAAGAACTGGTTCGGAACTGGTGCTGGTTCAAAGTTGGTTCGGAGTTGGTTCAACTTGCGAACCGCTTCAGAACCTATTTGTTTTTCCACTGACTAGAGCGCCCAGGGAACGACGTTGTTACGTCACTGTGTACGTCGCCATACGTCTTAGCTAGAAATGCTTGCAAATAGGCTACAACATTACTTTCGGATTATCTCTAACTCGTATACCAAGAAAGCTTTAAAAACAATTGAAATATGTAAGTCTTTTAATCTTTTCGTTTGATATGTAATTTTTTCTGATAAGTTATGTACCCCTGTAATTGGGTATTTTTTTCTTTCCATTTATTTGTTCTATATTGTGACTTTTCTTCTTTGCTTATAATGTCTTCAATAAAAAAAATTACAAAAATAGAAAAGCTTGCGTTAAGTTCAAGCATAACAATTACAAAGGCAGACTCCATCCTGTTTCTGCAAATGTTTCTCTTGGCTTTGCGAAATTGCGATCCTTTATTATGGTCAGAAAAGATGTTTCTAAACCCGCCCCAGCCCCCGACGTAAGCATGACGTGGTAAAAGAACGGTTCCAGTCCAGCAAAGAGTTGGTGCCGCTTTGAAACCAGTTCTCCTGGCCGAGAACGGGTTCCTTGGCTGTCGAAACACAAAGAACTGGTTCGCGCGCAGGCACCGGCTCCGAACCGGCTCTCAAAACGCTTTGGTGGAATAGGGGCTTAACAGAGCAAACAGTAAAGCTACTGCACTGTTTTCCCTGTTGTCTCCGGTTGCATTCACATGTAAATTGCGTGAGATTATTTCATCTATTAGATTGAAAGATCTGAAAAAGGCCATACATTTAACACCCATAGACCCTCCCCCCAAAGAAATCGCAAGAGAAGTGGTTGAAAGTGGACAAAAGAGACGGATTAAAAAACACCAGGTGCAAATGGGAATAGGTCTCCCTTGTCTACTTGAGATCAACCAAAACAGATCTTAATACCAGGTGTAGGCCTAAACAGGGCCTGAGATGTGGGTGTTGAACTGAAATGGAGGTGTAAGGGTGGGGTTTATGCAGAGTAAATGATCCTGTACAAGTCACTAGGGAAAAGTCAAACGTTTTCCGTGCAAGCTCAATTTATGGCATTTAAATTAAACATTATAAAAACAAAACAGATTAATTGTTCAGAGAGCGAGCTATAACATGCTTATAAATCATTTTGAATTTCATGCTGCCTTCGATGTTTGAGGGTGTCATTCACGGCTTTGGTTCAGTTGTCCGTTTAATAGGAAACAATAACGTCTTTCAACGGCCGTGCATCTGTCATAAGGCAAATAAATTATCTAATATATTTCATAAGCCAAGTGCACATCATGACAAAAGGTGACAAAGAGCTTCTGTTTGTCAGGTTTGTCACGCAGCCGCTCCAGGGGGAATGGTGGAGCTGTGGAAGATATGTGACAGCCTGGGTAGGGGTGGAGGCTTCTCCCGGTGGAGGGGTCCTCCCCTATCGTGGGGGTGACCCGGGATCACCGCAGGTAATGCGGGCAAGGCGACGGTGGCGAGTCTGTCCGACCCACAATGGGCGGGTTTAAATGGGTAAGAAAGTGGGTGGCCGTACAAAGCGAAGGCTCACAGGAAGTGTTCGACTTATCCCCTATATTTAAAACGTGTGAACTTCACCAAAACACCACAACACCCCGCAAGACAGCGCCGGGGAAGCGAGAAACCAACAGGGGAATTGCATACCTGGTCCTGGGCGCCGCTGGCTGGCTGCAGAAAGTCGCTCTGACTGCTGTCCACGTCCAAGGCAGCCATTTCCTGCTGTTTCGCTGGCTGTTCTGGGGCTACGGAGACACAGCGAGAGAAGGGGAAAAAAAACCTCAAAACAAATTCATGCTCAACGAACTCCCACCTCGAAAAGGCGGAGATTAGCCGCCAAACCGCCTGGAATTTAAACGAATCAGGAGGTTCTTTCTGCTTTCCCGTTGCCTGAGCAACAGTCTTTTCAAATGTTTACTTTGTTAAAGTGAGGCTAGCTGGCTAACGGTTAGCGTCGCTGCTGAGAAAGATTAAACACTGAGCTAGCTCGCTTGGCTAATGGCTCTCCAAACTCACCGGTGGTGCTGTGCTTCGATCGGGCTAAGTGTTACGTACCAGTCATAGCGTGAAAAGGTAAAAAATCGGAGGTTTATCTGTTCATTTAAACTCCCAACATGATTGTTTTAATCAAAGGCGGGCTGATCGGAGATTCGGGTCGATTTTTTTTCTTATTTTTGATTGACGGTGCGGGAAACACAAAAGGTGGGGCTTCGGAGATTACCAGTGAAAATTGCGTCACGTAAACGGAAGACCCGCCTTTCTTCTACGACGTGATTGGCTACGTGATTCGACTCCCTGTACACCGAATGGTCAAAGCTTTACGTCTGTCAATTTCACGGCACGAGCGTTTCCTGTTTGTTGTGCGCTAGTTCGCAGATGCGGAGAGAGTCTTTGGAAATAATATAGCTGGAATTGTTCACGTATGGCAGGAAGTTAGTTGCAGCTCTGGTGGCCATTCAACTGAAAGCGCAAGATTGTGAAACGTTTAGTACAGTTGCACAATGCCACATTGTTTTGCGTTCACATTAAAACGAAAGGTTATGTTTGCGACGTTTGCTACTAGTTTCGTTTTCTACCATAGTAACGTTACAGCCCTTATCGCGTGCCTGAGTTTACGTGTCAGTTTACCCACCTGGGTAAACAATGCCTTGCGGGAACAGCTGTGACTCCGGATGTCGGAGCCCAATCTACAATAATCATAAACCGCCTCATGCTGCTTGTCTCTCACTTGTCCTAAATATCCTAAATTTTATATATATATACACACACACACACACACACACAATCAATTCTTTCTTCAAAAATGTTGTCGACTGGATGTCCCCGGTCCAGCAAGACGTTTCCACAGTTTAGTTTACATCCAATAAATAAACATAAAACCCCAGTATAAAGAGCACAAATTTATTGTTGTAATAGACTGTTATAAAATTTGACACCCACATTTCTAAAACCTCTTTTACTCTATAATTTGTACTATCTAGTATTTGTTAGTATTTGATAAATAATGTTACATACATATAAAGTGCTAATTTGAAAATAAAAACAGGTGAAACAAACAATTCTTATTACAAAGAATTAAAATGTTACTAGTAACAAGTATTGGTACGCTATTTATAGGCACTAATAAAACTAGCATAATTGCAAGTCAGAAAGTCAGAAAAAAAGATCATAAATCTATAGAGAATTGCCTAAAGTTACAATTATTGGTTAACAATAACAAAAAAAAATAGCCACTTGTTTGAGGTATTAATGTTAAAACTGATTGTTTAACAAGTCTATAACAATGCTCTGTATTCCAGTAACATCCAGATCTCTAATCTATGACACATCACAATAAGGATGGACAAACCACCAATGTCAGTATATCTAAACTAAAGGCCATTAAAAAGATAGAGGTAGAAAACTGTAAAACACACGTTCACTCTTTAGTTCAGGTTTCCAGCTGTGCTGCTTCAAGTCATGGATGGTTTGGCATTGACCATCTTTGGTGCTGGGCTCCTCCGTCTGGGATCCCATTTCACATGTTGCTGACTGCCATAATAGAGAGAGATTAGTTTCAACATGCATTACTTTTGCAAAGCTCTGATTTTCACACTCACTTATTCACTTCACTCAGTATTGCATCATTTTTAGATCGGTTTGTCTTCGGGAACAACCCTAATCTAATCCAGTAAAAGAATTCTGGAGGATGACCCAGCCACATGTTTTTTTTTTTTTTTTTTGCTTCTGACACCCATGTGCTAAAGGGCATGTGTAAACCTATTGTTTTTTAATTTGGATAAAATAATAATAATAGGTATGGAATCTTCTTTCCGCCGCAGAATAAATAAAAAAAAATAAAAAATAATCTCACAATTCTGACTTTATAACTTGCAACTGCTCACAATTCTGAGAAAAGATGTTATAAAGGTATAAAGTCGGAAAGAATTGCGTGATATAGTCACAACTGTAAAACCAAAAGTCACAATTGCAAGATGTAAACTCAAAATTGTGTGAAGAAAGTCAGAATTATGAGACAAAGTCACAATTAAAATGTAAATTGGCGTAAACAAGCTTCCATAAATAGACCTATCTATTAATATAGTATTCCATATATATCAAAGCTTGGTAGACAGATATTTATTATATTTTTAGAAACTATTAGACAGATGATTAATTCATATTATAAATACTGTTGTTAGATTGGCATTAATAATATAAATGTTTTGTTATCAGAATATTATTAAGATTATGTTATTTAATAATTTATCATTTAGGGGCTACATGCAAATCCTGTCATATACAATTTATGGCATTAAAAACAAAAAACAAATTCCCTCGTTAGTTTCAAAAGAAAAAGTGCCACAGTCTCCTTTAATAGTTATTGTATTGTTGTCTTCGATAAAAAAAAACGGTATCCAAGCTGCTTCAACAACAACGGCTTTTGGATTCATTCATTTCATTCTCATGGAGTTAAAATCTTTCAATTTCACCCAAATGCATGCTGCAATTCATCATTACGTTTTGTAAGCTCACCGTAAATTAGGAATGCATGTCCTCCTGAGCAACACACAGCTCAGGTCAAAACTGTTGTGGTTAAATAATATACATACCGCCTTTGAAGGGATGGAAAAATCCTCGGGTCTTGGAACCGCATCTTCGCTTAGACGCAAACTGCCTTCAGGAGCAAGGCCGAAGTCCACCTTTCTCCAATTCTCGTAGCTCTCTCGGGAAAAATGCTTGCTACACACAAACAATTTTGATGTGTTAGTAGTTGATGGCCAACCAACCGCCCGCAGCCACAGTTTAGACCTGACAGCATCGCGGGGAAAGGCATGCAACAACCTCGAACTCTTGCACCACGGAAACAAACACCTGCGACCCATGAACTCCTCCCTCGACTACAACGTGATCTTATAGTTTGACATGATCTATGTCATAAGAAATAATTATTATAGAATTGCAATACGCCGATTTCACGCAGCCGCCATTTTGAAATCGAAAGCGAGGCTCCCGAGGGAAGATTGCCGGAACGCTACCAACCTGAAACTGCTGCCACAATTCACACTATTGGATATTAATATTTAATATAGGATAAGTATATAGTTCGTTCGTGCTTCTTTTTTACGTTCTGAATTATGTACAAACATAATTTAATTTATATATTTCACTGCATATAGTCTAAAGTATGAAAGACATGTATGTATATTTTTAGAATAACTAATTTTTACATTAAAACACAACAAAAACAACATTCCGACTCTCCTATGATTAAAAGCCATAAAAGCACACTTCCGGTTTTCTTGGGATTTCAAAATGGCGGCTGCCGACGCGTCATCGAAGTACTTTTGATTTTTCACATATGCTGCCTTCACGTGCCATCAGAATGATGTAAATGCAATATTTCATAGTTAAAAATGAACGCCCTCCCCAATCAACATTTGAATATGATGAGATCATAAGACTTCAGAAGTGGGACGTTTCCAATACACAGAGGAGAAAATAGCAGGGGATCCATAGGGGAACTCAAAATTTACAGAGCAATTCCGGTGTGAGGTGAACCCTAAATAGTTTTCTCCAACAAATGTGCAATATTAGCAATTTCCGAGAAACATTGTTGAAAACCTCCAATTAAACACACCCCGCCCAACAGAAACACACCTCCCCTCATTGCTCTGCCACCAGGATAGCAAACACGTTCTGCAACAGGCAACCACATCAGCCAGTCTCGTTACTATATTACAACATCACCTTGGTTCTGTGAAATGTTTCTCATGTATCAAGCCGAAACAAAACAACCTCAGCGTCCGTTTTCAGGCCTGCTAGCTCTTTAAAGTCTCTTCAGCACTGGAAAGCTTTCCCAATATTAACACAGGTTCTAGCTCTGACTTGGCCGTAAGATTTTTTTTTCCAATTATATTCCTCTGACCTCTTCCTCGTTAGTAATATCTCAGCCATCACTTTTTTTTCCCCAATTATATTCCTCTGACCTCTTCCTCTGTGGTAATCTCATCCATCAATCTTCCTCCTACAAATGTCCCGCTTGCTCATCTCTCTCCTCACCTTATTGCTGATTGGCTACAAGTATTGTGGCGATCGGTCCGATCCAAATGGTGCCCACTGTAGTGACGTCTTGGGTTGAGCTTGACCTAGTCCAGCTCCACCTCTGTGGATTTAATGGGTGGGGGTATAGAGTTATGATAGGGTTTTAGTTGGACCTTCTCCACCCATTACACCCAGATTACACCTAGACTTTATGCTCGCTCCACCCATGCAGTGAGCAGCCTCCCGTCCCATCCACTTTGCGCACACACACAGAACAGTACATCTAGCAAATATTCATTAAATTAGTTTGGTGGTTGATTTAACAGCACAAAAATCAAACCACACATAAATGCTAAAAATTGCATCATCAAATGATTTTCTTTCCTCCCAAATGGTTTCTGTATTGCTTACATCTCTATAAATGAGTTTTGTTTCACCGCAGCCTAATACTATAAATCCCATCTAACATCAATGCAGCACATATCAATATAAATGTGTGAGACGATTAGGAAAGTACCTTGAACAGAAAACACTTTGGTCTGAGGAAGTGTTTTATTAGAACAAACTGCTGTGTGACATGCAGCTTTTGTAAGCAGACCAGCCTTTACGTTTATTTCAGCCATGAGCCAAAATAATAAAATAAAAAATAAACCACTAAGGTGTGATTGCGTTTTAAATGTTCCAAAGCCATAAATGAAGAAACTCAGCAGGTCCAACCAACTGGAATAATGATGACTTCACTTCTTCTTGGGCTGATTAGGTGTGTTGAATTTGAAGAAGATGATGTCACCATCTTCCACAACGTAGTTCCGTCCCTGTTGTCTGTATTTCCCTGCAGCCTGCAAGTATTCGACACATTATTAGTTTTCAACCTTTAACAATCCATTCTATTTTCTATTATCTTTTTAAGATCTTACTTTAGCAGCGTTTTCACTGCCTTCCTCCTTAAAGTCTGTAAATTTCATGACTTCAGCCATAATGAAGCCTTTCTCAAAGTCTGTGTGGATCTTTCCAGCTGCTTGCGGGGCCTTGGTGCCTTTCTGTAAGGTGTTTCAGAGGTCCATCAGAAATGCATACATCACATGTAAAAATGTGTCCGTGAACATGTGCTTTGCTCACCCTGATGGTCCATGCACGGACTTCGTCAGGTCCTGCTGTGAAGAAGTACTCCAGCTGCAAGGCCGCATACCCAGACTTGATGATCTTTGTCAGAATACTGAAATAAAAACAATTCACAACGTGAAAAACTTCATAGGAAGAATTAATATCACTACTGAAATTCAGCATGACCAAAAATGTGATTGACTTTAGAGCATCAGTTTAGTACGGTTGAAAATGCTTTATGCATGTGAAAAAACTAGGGCTGTCAAACGATTAATCGCATCCAAAATAAAAGTTTGTGTTTACATAATATATGTGGGTGCACTGTGTATAATTATTTTGTATATATAAATACACACACACATTTAAGAAAAAAATTATTTCTTTCTATATACAATATTTATATTTATACATGATAAAAATGATATATAAATCTATATACAGTATATACATGCAAATATTTCTTAAATATATACAAGCATGAGTGTGTTTTTATATATATAAAATAATTATACACTGTGCACCCACATATATTATGTAAACACAAACCTTTATTTTGGATGCAATTAATCGCGATTAATCGTTTGACAGCCCTAGAAAAAAAATAAAATTTCTTAAATTGAGCGAAGAGCAAATCCTGACCTCTGCGTTTTGTTTTCCTCACAATATTTCTGTTTCTCTTCATCGGTCATATCCTGATATTTGCACTCAAATCCCCCACTGAACGGGATGACCAGCGCACCTGGATCATGAGCATCAACCCACTCCTTGATCTTCACCAACCTACAAAAATAAAGACAGCAAATGTTTTACATCAGGGCCCCTAAACTCAAATCACCTGGGGACGAAAGCCAGTTCTCCATCGAGGACCAGCTTAAACTGTTGCAGCACAAATGTTAACAACCATGAATTTGGACTACATAGTTATTTGCTAGTTACATTGAGCGCCTCAACTCTCCATTATATACCAAGCATACTGCTCTACAAGTGTACTGGAGTAATGACACCTGACCTGAGACTGTTTTACTTGACAATCACATTCTCAATTCAAGATCAAGCAGTAAACCGTGCCATGAAAGGAAAAGTCCATCCAAAAATGAAAATTCTGTCATCATTTTCAATCCTTTACGAGTCATCCAAAAATATTTTTAATGATATTCAGAGGGATTGTCAGGCATGTCTGAAAGTGAGTAACTTTAGTAACTTGTGAATCAGCACTGACGCAAGACGCGAACTGTTTTGACCGATTCAGTTTCGTTTTAGTGTACTGGTTCGACCGGTTCACTAAAAAGAACCAGTTCAAAAGAACGAATACTAGTACTACTAGATAATAGAAGTACTACTTTTAAAAAATGCGGTCAGGAAGCAAGTCGGGTACAATATTTTCTTACTTTTTTGCGGTACGAGTTGCAGGCGGGTTAGTTGAAAACGTCGGTCTGGTGCGGGTTGTTTATACATTGACCCACGCATCACTGGCATTTACACTCATGATGGGGGAGGAGAAAGGTTACCAGATTGTTGCTCTGAATTTCAGTGTCACAAAATTCAGACTTATCGTACATTATGGGATTTTTTTCATTATTTATCATACAATCAATAATAAAAAAAAAAATCCCATAATGCATGATAATTTTCAACTAGAGGACCAATAAAGCCTATGATGGAGAACTTCAATAGCTACAATCAAAGTACTTGCAATTGAAAGAAACGCATGGTAGCCTAAGCGTTTTAGAGGTCCCTGATAGCCTAGCCAGGCTACTATTCATCTTTCTGATCAGTGCATCAGAATACACGCAGGCCAGGGAAACGAAACAAACAACCCCACAAATCTCTTTAATAATAGAAATGCAAATACGTGTTTTTTTCATGCGGGACGGGAGAGGACACAAATCAATGCATCTCTAATATTGTGCGGGATTAAATTCTCAAAGGTTTGCGGTGCGAGCGGGAATGGACATACATATTACGGGAGCGGGCGGTAGTTTAACACATACGTTGCGGGAGCGGGCGGTAATGTTCAGAAATTCAGCGGGCGGGATGAAGAAAACAGTCCCGAGCAGGACTCTAGTCCAAATGATGTGTAATACCGGCACAGAAAAGGACTCACTAACAGAAGATAAACAGCTAACATGTGATCTCACCATTTATTCTTTTTCCTGATGTAATCTTTCTCTGAGAGGTTTACCAAGTAGATCATTGGCTTGGATGTCAGGAACAGATACTTATTCAAGACCTCAATCTGAAAAACAACAACAAAAAACAGTTTGAGTATAAACAAAAGTTCATCAAGAGCAGGTTTAGGCAGAGTATAGAGTGCTGCATGTATGATATGTTTTTGTAGGCCAACCCAGAAGGCAATATCACCCTTGTTCCCTCTATTAAAGGAGTAGTTCACTTTTAAAAAAAAACTTTTGCTGATAATTTACTCACCCCCATGTCATCCAAGATGTCCACGTCTTTCTTTCTTCAGTCAAAAAGAAATTAAGGTTTTTGATGAAAACATTGCAGGATTTTCTCCATATAATGGACTTCAATGGGAACCAAACGGTTCAAGGTCCAAATGAGAGTTTCAGTGCATCTTCAAAGGGCTTTAAACGACACCAGACAATGAATAAGGGTCTTATAGGACCCTTCGAGTCATGTCTCGAAAAAATATTTGTTCATTTTGATGAACGAGTTTCAACAGGAGAGTCACGAACGTTCATCACAGAACAGAGCAAGGTCAGCATTTGAGCTTATAAAACTTAAAAATTTTATTTTATTTTTTAAATGACCGATCGTTTCGCTAGATAAGACCCTTATTCATCGTCTGGGGTCGTTTAAAGCCCTTTGAAGCTGCACTGAAACTCTCATTTGGACCTTGAACCGTTTGGTTCCCAATGAAGTCCACTATATGGAGAAAAATCCTGGAATGTTTTCATCAAAAACCTTAATTTCTTTTCGACTGAAGAAAGAAAGACATCTGGACATCTTGGATGACATGGGGGTGAGTAAATTATC